AATGTCATTTGAAAATCCTATTCCTTCCCCCTAGTCCCCAACAGAAAAGCTGTTAAACCTAAGATGCTGTGACTCTCTGTCCAGTTGTCCATGTGTCCTGTCTGCTTCCAGTCCATGTGGGTAAGCCTATGGGTACATCGTAAGTCCATGCTATGTGGTTGAATTCCCCCAAATTATTCTAAATTAGGGACCTTGATGAATTTCTTCTAAATGTATGAAGAGATTTCTGTGGGTTAAAAGAGTGGAACTCTGGACACAGTTTCTTGGAGGGAAGTAAAGGTTTCTGGTTATTGGACCAGCTGTGAAGGGTGGGGGATAGTGTGGCCGGAAAGTCTGGGTCCAGTTTCCTGGCTCTTCAGCATGCGCCTCAACAGGGTTAGCCCATTTGCTCTTCACATTACCTTGCACTTATTTAAGCGCCCTTTGAATGAGGGAAGGTCCAATGGAACTTGGAGAGATGGGATTGGAAAAGGCACAAGGGCAGGGGGAGACCCAGCGGCTTGTTAGAAGCCCTGCTCTCTGGCCTGGGGCTCTGGTGAGGGTGGGGAGCTGGGAGCTGAGCCCGGGCAGCCCTGGAAGCCAGAAGCAAAGGCATGAGGGATAGAGATGTATGTTCAGGTCTCTGCGCTGCCACTTGCATGCTGCAGCCTCACCTTCACTGGAAAACAGCTTAACACTAAAACTTGGGCTGCCTACTTTGCAGAGGGCTGTGTAGAGCAGGGGTCCTCAAACTTTTTAAACAGGGGGCCAGTTCACTGTCCCTCAGACCTTTGGAGGGTCGGACTATAGTTTAAAAAATAACTATGAACAAATTCCTATGCACACTGCACATATCTTATTTTGAAGTAAAAAAACAAAATGGGAACAAATACAATATTTGTATTTGCATGTGGCCCGCGGGCCATAGTTTGAGGACCCCTGGGCCAGGGCATTCATATGCAAAAGCTTCTGCCACAACTTGGGTGGAGCGGGGTTCCAGGGAATCAACAAGGCGGAGCAAGCAGCTATGGCTGATCCTCAGCCCTGCCCTAAGGGGCCCCGCGTCTCAGTGTCCCAGTAATCGCTGCAAGCACCTTTGAGAGAAAGCCGCCCTCGAGTTCCCAGTTCTGCCCGCTGCCAGACAGTCCAGTTTCTCCCTGTATGAGTCTGGGTCCCCAGAGACTCACCCGGAACTGGAGTTCAGAGCAGTCGGGGGCTTGTGACTCCCTCCCGATTCAAAAAGACAGCCGCGTCCTTGGTTGCCAGCCCTTGCCGTATGCGCCTCCGTACCTCTGCACTTCCGCACCTCCTCTGAGTCTCACTGTGCTTTTCTCTTTCCTTCTAGTTATAGAATTTCCACTCAGCCAGCCTTCCTGTTGGTCTGGATGATGTCCGTTTTGTCTTTTAGTTGTATTTTTGAATTTGTTGTAGGAGGCAGCAATTTCCGGTGTTTACCTATGCCACCATCTTGGTTTCTCTCCTTGTGTGACTTTTTTCTTCCCCAAATCAGTGAAGTTTTCTGTCATTATTTCTTCAAACAGGTTTTCTATTCCTTGCTGTTTCCTCTAGTTCTGGCACTTCTATTATGCAGATGTTGTTTCATTTCATTTTGTCCCAAAGCCCCCTCAGGCTCTTTTCCTGCTTTTTAAGTGTTTTTTTTTTTCCAGTTGCTGCTGTGCTTGAGTCTTTTTTTTTTCCTCCTTATCTTTTCAAAACCTCGTTTCTTGAACATCTCCCATCTTGAACAGTTTGGTTCTCAACCAAGTTCACAGAAAGAAATGTCTCGGTTTTTCAACCAAAACTTCGGTTTTCTACCTGACAACCTCAGCGTGACAAAAAGTGTCTCTCTGTCAACAAAGTAGAGAATGCTTTTATTGCGATCAGCAGTGGGGCGGACAGGGGTAGGGGCTGCAGGAGGTTGGCCACCCAGCCCCGCCCCCTATTAAGGGAGGGGGTGCAATCAGGGCGGGCCAGCCAGGGGAGGAGCTTGCGGGGCTATCATGGTAGGGCTGGCTGATCGGGGGTGGGGCTGGTGGTTGGGGCAAAGGAGGGGCATTTGGTCAGCCGCCCCACCCTTGATCAGGGTGGGAGAATCCAATCAGGGGCAGGCTGGCAGGGGGGAGTGGCTGTGACGTTGGCCGGCCGGCCCCATCCCCTGATCGGCTGGTTCGCTGGACACAGTGGGCGTTATGGCTGTTACGGTGGCTGGCTCTCTCTCTCTATATCTACACTAATAAAAGAGGTAAAAGAGAAACATGCAAATTAACCATCACTCCTCCACTCCGCTACACCCACCAGCCAAATTAACCCAACAAAGATGGCAGTTAATTTGCATATGCAGGCGTGGAGCAAATACTGAAGATGACTGAAGATGGCAGTGGCCACAGAGCTGGAGCAAGCAGGAGGCTTGGGTTGCTCCCGGCGACAGAGGAAGCCAAGTTTCCCGTCGGCCCTGGACTCTGCTCAAGGAGTGGCTGGGGGCCTGGGTTGCCGGGGCGACCCAGGCTTCCAGCCCGCCCTGAGCTCCACTCAAGGAGGGGCTGGGGGCCTGGCTTCCAGCCCACCCTGGACTCCGCTCAAGGAGTGGCTGGGGCCTGGGCTCCGCTCAAGGAGTGGCTGGGCGTCTGGATCGCCGGGGGTGACCCAGGCTTCCAGCCAGCCCTGGCCTCCGCTGGAGGAGCTGGAAAAAAAAAAGGAGGGGCTGCGAGCAGCCAGAGCGGAGAAGCCAAGTCTTGCTTCTGTGGCTGGACCAAAAACCTGGATCCCGGGTCCCGGAGGAAGACTGGTGCCGGCAGCCAGGGGAAGGGAGGCCTATTGCGTGAATCTGTGCAATGGGTCACTAGTGTGTGTGTGTGTGTGTGTGTGTGTGTGTGTGTGTATTACATTAGGCATGCACTGTATATAAGAAAAGTTAAAACGGAATCATTTAGGGGTTTGGAATGGATTAATTCTATTTACATTATTTCTAATTGGAAGAAAGAGTCGAGTTTTTTAACAAATCGCTTCTCAAACAGTCTTTGGAAATTAATTAAGTTCGAGAAAGGAGGTTCCACTGTAGTCTAACTCAACTTTATTTCTGATTCTTTACTAAATACCTTAGTAAATACTTTAGTGTGCAGTAAATACTATATACTAAATAGTAAAGTGTTTGATGTATATTTTAGTATTGTAGTACTATCATATAGTAAATATGCTCAATACTTGAGTATATTTGTCTTTAATCAATTAAGCATTCAACTCCCTCTACCACCACTGTAATTGCCACCTCCTACCTTTAAAAAAAATTATTGCAGTTCTTACCTGCTATTCTCCATCTTCCTTCTGAGACTATCATACCTCCTCTACCAAACTGAATGATCAATATCTATGAATCAAGATAAATAGAAGTATCAATCTGCATGAAGGACTGCCTTATATTCACACAAGCATGTTGTGGCTTATGACTCATTGCTGGATTATTGGGCCAGTTATTTACATTTATGGCAAGTATATGCCTTCCATAAATCTAAATTTAGGAAGACCTTTATTTTTATTAATTTACTTTTTAGATATAGAGATATTCTTTATTTATATTGTTATATTTATTTCATTATTGATAGTATTACAGATGTATCCCATTTCCTACTCCCTATGCCCACCCCCTACCCACCCCCCAGGACTTACCACCCTATTGTCTGTGTCCATGGGCTATACATATAAGTTCTTTGGTTATCTGTCCTCATCCTCCCATCCCATATTGAGGTATGTCAGTCTGTTCCATCCCTCCACGCTACAGGTCTTATTTTGTTAGTCAGTTCATTTTGTTAGCACGACCTTTAAATACCAATGTGACAGTGGTCTGATTTATTTCAGTCATGTGAGCCATGAAGTGACAGAGGATTTTTCTCCTTGGGATCCAAGAACTGTTATTGTGAAGCAAGATGGTGGAAGCTGCACACCAGCATTGCCCATACCTGAACTGGAAAGGGAAGAGGAAAAAGAAGACATTTCAGATCCTATAGACCTGAATCCTTGTAGTGCAATATATAGCAACTTAGGTAAGTGCAAATGCCATATAAGTAGTATTTAAGTAGTATTTAAAGTTAGCCAAATTATTTATTTCCCTGGAGAGATGGTTTTTATTGCTCCATGGAGCAAAAGTTGGACAATCAAATTATACATTCTAACTCACATCATAAAAAGTCCTGCTGTTTACTTGGCAAGTATGAAACACCTGCTACTTTGTCTTCCAAATTACTGATTTGATCCTCTGCTTCATCTAATCTACTGTTGGACTCTTTTTTTTTTTTATTGATTTCAGAGAGGAGGGAGAGATAGAAACATCAATGATGAGAGAATCATTGATCAATTGTCTCCTGCACAACCCCTACTGGGGATCGAACCTGGGACCCTTCAGTCCACAGGCGATGCTGTATCCAGTGAGCCAAACCGGCTAGGGCTCTACTGTTGTACTCTTCATTTCAGTTCTTATATTCTTAACTAGAGGCCCGGTGCACAAAAATTTGTGTTGGGGGGGTGGTCCCTCAGCCCGGCCTGTGCCCTCTCGCAGTCTGGGACCCCCGGGGGATGACCACCTGCTGGCTTAGGCCCACTCCCCGGGGGATTGGGCCTAAGCTGGCAGTCAGACATCCCTCTGGCAGCCCGGGAGCCCTCGGGAAATGTCCACTTGCCAGTGGGGAGCAGGCCTAAGCTGCAGTCGGACATCCTTAGCGCTGCTGAGGAGGCGGGAGAGGCTCCCACCGCCACCGCTGTACTGGCAGCCGTCAGCCTGGTTTGTGGCTGAGCAGAGCTCCCCCTGTGGGAGCACACTGACCACCAGGGGGCAGCTCCTGCATTGAGCGTCTGCCCCCTGGTGGTCAGTGTGTGTCATAGTGACCAGTCATTCCCAGTCATTCTGCTGTTAGGATCAATTTGCATATTACCCTTTTATTATATAGGATAGAGGCCTGGTGCATGGGTGGGGGCCGGCTGGTTTGCCCTGAAGGGTGTCCCGGATCAGGGTGGGGGTCCCCCTGGGGTGCCTGGCCAGCCTGGGTGAGGGGCTGAGGGCCGTTTTCAGGCTGGCCACACCCCCTTCAGGGAGGGGGGTCTTGCAGGGGTGCCTGGCCAGTCTGGGTGAGTGTCTGATGGCTGTTTGCAGGCTGGCCAAAGCCCTTTTAGGGTTGGGGTTCCTGCTGGGGTGCCTGGCCAGTCTGGGTGAGGGGCTAATGGCTGTTTGCAGGCTGGCCACAGCCCCCAGCCACCCAAGCTCCCAGTGGAGGCTGGCTGGAAGCAGGTATCTGGGATTTATTTATCTTCTATAATTGAAACTTTGTTGACTTGAGCGGAGGCCACAGCCGGCCAGGGCAGGAGGGAAGCTTGGCTTCCTCCATTGCTGGGGCACCCAAGCCTCCTGCTTGCTCCAGCTCCGTGGCTGCCGGCCGCCATCTTGGTTGGGTAAATTTGCATATAGTTGCTCTGATTGGCTGGTGGGCATTGCTTGGGGTGTAGTGGAGGTGCGGTCAATTTGCATGTTTCTCTTTTATTAGATTAGATTTCTGACTGGTTCTTTTTTATGATTTCTGTCTCTTTGTGTAAATTCTCACTGAGTTCATCAATATTTCCCCTGTGTTCCTTGAGCATCTTTTAAAATATATATTTTTTTATTGATTTCAGAGAATTGAGAGAAAGAGAGAGGAATCAATGATGAGAGAGAATTATTGATCGGCTGCTTCCTGAACACCCCACACTGAGGATTGAGCTCCCAACCTGGGCATGTGCCCTGACTGGGAATTGAACCATGACCTCCTGGTTCATAGGTTGACACTCAACCACTGAGCCATGCCGGCCAGGCCCCTGAGCATCTTTACTCCCACTTTTTTTTTTTATCTCTGTATCTAATAGATTGCTTGCCACCATTTCATTTAGTTCTTTTTCTGGAGTTTTGTCCTCTTCTTTCATTTGGGACATTTCTTTGTCTTATTTTGGCTGCCTCCCTGTGTTTGTTTCTATGTATTAAGTAGATCTGCTATGTCTCCTAATCTTGGCATGGTGGCCTTATATAGTTAGTAGGTGTCCAGTGGGGACCAGTGGCATAGTCTTCCTGGTCCAGTAGTGTGTGTTCCTTGTGTCATTGTGTGTGCCCGTCTGTTGTAGTTGAGCTTTGATTGCTCTTAGCATGTCAGTAGGTAGGATTGCCCCTCAGGCTCAATGGCTATGAGAACTGGTTGCAACTGCAGCAGATAAGCTTTTGTGCAAGTGCTAACCCCACAGAGCAGGGTTTATTTTAGTGCAGTCCAATGCCTTTTGATTCCACCCTTTGGGTATGGCATTTATGGAGCTCATTGGGTAGTGTTCTGGTGTGGTATAAAGCCAGCCAACAGGTGTGTTGGTTCTGGGGCCTTTTAGGTAGGGCTCAGGTACAGCCCCAGGTCAGTTGCTACCAGTGCCTGGCCTGGAACCACCTAATGGGAGCTACAAGTAATCCTGTGGTTGGTAGTCACCAGTGATGGGCTTGGAGACATCTGGGAGAGGCTATGCTGTGGGGTTACTTAGCATGAGATACAGGGCACATCAAGGCCATGCACTGCTCATTTGGGGTTTGTGGACCTTTGAGAGATTTTAGAAAAGTGTGCAGCATGGGCCAAGCCCAGCCACTTAGAAGAAACAGCCTCTGAAAGAGTTTTGGGCCCTTGCCTGTGTTAGGTAGGGCAAGGCCTAAGGGAGTCATCAGAGTGGGATACCTGAGGTTAGCCATTTAATGGAGATCTTGGATTTGGCGCCCACCTGCATATGCAGGCTGGGCCGGTGTGGGCTTAACAAAGGAATAATGGTGCCTGCCAGCCCTTCAGTCCTGTAGAGAGGTGCCTGTTCAACCCTCACCCTGAAGCCAGATAATTCAGTTCCTCCCTTGGTACTTTTGGAGTGCTGTCCCTTTACTGAAGCTAAGGGCGAGTGTTCATGAGTGAGTCTGTGCTCAGGCCCTTCAAGAGGATGCCTGGGTCTATAGCAGTCCCCCTTCTCATCTGGACACAGTCTCCACTGATTTTTACAGCCAGATGTTTTGGGGACTCCTGTTCCTGGCACTGGTGCTCCAGGCTGGGGAATCTGGTATGGGGCTGGGACCACCAGGCAAGATATCCCTTCCAATTTTTCACCACTGCAAATAGGTGTGGGATCAGCCTGTTTTGCATTGCTACCCCTCCTACCAGTCTTGCTGAGGTTTCTTCTTTATATCTTTAGTCATAGGAGTTCTGTTTAGCTCCTCTTCAGGTGGTTCTCAAGGGTGGTTGCTCTATACGTTGTAATATTGATGTGGTCATGGGAGGAATGAGCACAGCGTTTCCTTAGTCTGCTACTTTGACTGGAAGTGCCTAGATGTATATTTTAGAATATCCACTCTGCAGGCTGCCATGTGAGGATGGATTAGAGATGAAGTATTTGGTAGTAGGTAATATGAGGCTTAATTCAGGGGGTTCCTAATGACGGAATTATATAAGTCATGCCTCAGTTTTCTTTTTGTGCATCCACATTTCTCGTCTTATTTATCTGGAGTATCACCTACTCACTTCAAACTCTGAAAGAAAACACCTGGAATTCTTCTGTCTCCTGCATGGCCTTTGGCAGTGTACTGATTGTCAGTGTTAAATTTTAAGGGATGGATATACTTTAAAAAAATGTCATTACATTGCTGGCCTTGATGTTGGAATAATATCATTATAAATAGCAGTTTTAAAACAATCATTTTGAAGGATATATTACTATTTGTTCATTTTTTCATTAAATAATTATTGAGGAACTTCTGTGGGCCAGACATTATCCTAATGTAAAGTTAATTATTTGAACCAATGATTAAAGAATTGCACATTTTTAGATTATCTGGGTGTTAAAAAACACACAACTGAGATTGATAGCTTTTGTTATAATTTCTAAAAAATGTAATTATTTCTATTTAAAAAGAAGCCATAATCCTCATAGCTGCATTCACATTTAAAAATAGTTTTCCAGCCCTAACCGGTTTGGCTCAGTGGATAGAGCGTCAGCCTGCGGACTCAAGGGTCCCAGGTTCGATTCCGGTCAAGGGCATGTACCTTGGTTGCGGGCACATCCCCAGTAGGAGGTGTGCAGGAGGCTGCTGATCGATGTTTCTAACTCTCTATCCCTCCCTTCCTCTCTGTAAAAAAATCAATAAAATATATTTAAAAAAAATAAAAATAGTTTTCCATATGCTGAAATTTGTTGGCAGAGTGCAGTATTCAAATTACACAGATAACCTATCCCAAATAAATAATGTCTGTTCTTAGAGAGGTTTTCACTAATGAGATCTTACAAACACTGAGTTTGTCAGCTGCTACACCATTGACATTCTTTAAAGTAGTCTGTGTATCTCTTTATTTGAAGTTAAGCTCAAAGTGGTTTTTGGAGCTCACTTTTGTTTTAGTATTTGGCATGGAGTAATAAGTAATAATGTCCAGGTAGATTAGGACCTGTCCTTCCAAGCTGCTGATGCCTGCTGCCAGAAGATGATAAAGTGAGTGAGTGTTAGGTTGAGCTAGGGAGAGCCTACTCACTTGAAAAGGCTCGTGCACAGTGGTGGTGTAAGGCATCTATATTTAAAAACTCCAGTATGATTTCCCATTCAAGATGATCATCTCTTTTTTTGTCCTCTCTTTTCCTATTCTCATTTATATTACTTGTCCCCAACCCTGGGGAAAAAATAGGGATGAAGATTGAAATTGCAATTTAAAAAGAAAGATATATTCCATTTGTTTTGGCTGTAATACTTTCATCCAGCAAACATTTTTCTTTTTTTAAATCCTCACCTGAGGATATGTCCCTGTCCCTCTCCCCCGCCCCTTCCCTATCCTCCTTCCCTCTCTTTCTAAAAATCAATAAACAATTTTAAAAAAGATTTTTTAAAGATCATTCTGGATACCTATGGGATGATTGGAGTCAGGAGGACTGACCAAGAGCTCATGATATCCCTGTCTTATTGGAATAAAGAGCTAATTGTACACAGTAGCATACTGCTCTTGTTTAAACGGGTCAATCCCTAGCA